CNCCAATAGCTCTACACGACCTACTCATCTTTATTGTGAGAACTAGATAAATAAATAACACTACCACCAATATTTCATACATATCAATGATGGTTTATGTCTATTAATTTATATATATATATATATATATATTTCCTATCTATATTTATATTTATAGTAATATAAAAATGTTGTTGGAAAAACACTTTTATAGTAAGTTTGACTAAAAAAATAATTTGACTTACTATTAATGGAAATTTTAAAAAAAAACACATGTAAATCTTTAGGAATCAAATTTAATTGACATATCCCAAAAAATTAGAGATTGTTGTGGTAACAAATTTGGAGATTCTTATACTAAAATTTAATTCGTTTTAGGAATCTATTTTATTGGTAACAAATTTAAAGATTCTTATGCCAAAAAAATTGAGAGCATGTTTGTTTATGAAATTTTTTCAAAAAAATTTCAACATTTTAACTCAACTACTTTTTTTTAACTCAACTTTAACTCAACCTCACTATCATCAATATTATTAATATAATTAAATAATATCAATCAATCATTCATACACACCATATCAACCTTAATTCACTATTCATCCACTCACATTATTTTAACTAACCATCACTTCAATAATCTCTCTTCTACCTTTACATCAAATCAATTTTAATTATTTTATTTTAAATATTATTTTAATATACCCACTAACAATTAATCATACCACTTTTTTCAAAATTAACCAAACTAAACCAAACCAAAAAATCCAAAAAAAATCAAAAATTTGTATAAACAAACATGCTCTGAGATTTTGAATTGAGATCTCCCAACAATTACGGATTTTTTTTCCATTCAATTTACTGTTGTAAATCAAACAAAAAATTATTCCGAGAATCATGGATGCTATGCTAAATATTGATAAACTCCAATTCTCCATAAATTATTTATATTTATGAATTTTGTGTGTAAATAACTAAATATATTGATTTGTTTTTTGTAAATTTATTACTATATAATAGAGAGAGAGAGAGAGAGAGAGATTTACTTGACATAGTATTGAAATTCCCGCTTAAAATTTACGTTTTTTAGCGTTTTATCGCACGTTTGGATAATGCCTTGACTGATTATACCTCATAAAAGAACNTGCATCGCACGGGATTCGTACTAGTATATATAAAAATGTTTGATTATATTTTAAATAGTAACTATTCTCCTCCAAAAAAAAATTATTTATTATTTCGAGAAATTAATTTAACAATTATGGTATATTTAAAATAATCACTTATGGAAATTGCGGCTCATTATTTAAGGAAATAATGAAGACATAAAAAATACATTTTAAGATACCTTAATTACTCAAATCATGTGAATTCGGCTGATTTACTCAAATATTGGAATTTCACTTATGGAAATTGCGGCTCATTATTTAAGGCAATAACTAAGCCATAAAAAAAAATATTTTTAAGATACCTTAATTACGAAAGTCATGTAAATTTGGCTGATTTATCCAAATATGGGAATTTCGGCTGTAATATCAATTATGTGATTTGTTAAAAAGTTTCCAACTAAATTGTATAATTTATCAGTTAATAAGTGTTTTATATTTTTCGTGTAATTCTTTTGTGAAATGCATTTTTAATATATCTTAATTACGCAAATTGTGTAAATCCAACTTATTTATTCAATATGCAAATAATTACTACAATTATGAAATATCGACAACAATGTATATTGATTAATGAAATTTAAAAAATTTGTAATTTAATACTAGAGAATTAGTTACATTTGAATAATAACGTAACCAAAAATAAATCTATAAAAGTTCGAGATAACATATATATATATATATATATATATAATATATACCAGAATTTATAAGTTGGGTTCCAAATTTAAAGTCAAATAAGTAATTATTCATAACTTACGGGTCAATATTAACTCAGACGTAAATGGAATAGTCAATTATTTATGGTTTAATAAATTACTCAACTATTTATTTTTTTACTTGGATAGTTTATATAAAAATAAATTCATTTTAATCAATGAAACAATATAAATTTTATTATACTTATTATTCACATAGATTTTGATATATATGTTAAACTTTTACTAAAATAATTAATCTATGGGAGCACATTGTAGTCAAATAAAATTTTTGAATGAAAATTTTAAAATGACACTTATTTTAAAATAAATATAATATAATTTATTATTACTTGCGTGCACCGTACATGTTGTGTACTAATTTCAAATCGATATGTTTTATGTAATTTTTTACAATTTAAATTTTATAAAATATTTTTAATAAACTAATATAGATAAATTGTATTACATGTTGATTCCATATTTTCAATTTATATATATTATTTAATGAGATGTTTTAATTTATAAATATTAAAAAATTATCTTTTACTCGTGCATCGTACGGGATTCGTACTAGTATATATAAAAAGGTTGTTGGATAAATCCTTTTTGGAAACTTTTGACCAAATAAATAATACTTTTGACATTCTATTTATAGAAAGCTTAAAAATAATAATTGTGTAGTTTAAGATTGACAGAAAAATCACAATTTGAATTCAAAATTAATGGTTGATAGATAATATTGGAACAATAATATTTGAATAACTCATGATGGAAAATCTAATCACTTGAGAGTAATCATATTTTGAATTCAACTTAGCTTATTTATTCAAAACGTCCAAAATATGTCAACATCTTAACTAATTAATTTATTATCCAACTAATTTTATCACTTAAGAATAATCAGCTAAAACTTTAAAATAAATCAAAAATCACGATGGATTACTTAACAATTAATATATTAATCTTTTATAGTTCATCACATCAGAAATTTTTTTATCATCAAATCACAATTGAAATTAATTGCATTTTCACTTGTTTAATTTTTTTTAACGTTCAATAATATTTTTACTCATATTTAATACAAGTTATTTGAAGGATAGGGCTATATTAACGCCGACGTTGGATGTGGTCGAGTCTATCAATGAGTACATGACATCATTGAATTTGTTGGATGGTCGTATGTACGTGCAAATCGGATTCTAATAATGATTTTTTGTGTAATCTCCATACGCCCGAGTTTTTTAATAGTATCAAGTATTTCGGAATACCGAACCATGAGTTGTATTTGAAGATTGGAACTCCAGTCAAGTTCCAGCGGCGATAGTTTCCCATTATGGTTTCTTATGTCATGACTATAAAGAAGAGCTAGGGACAATCCTTATCTCATGTTGGCTTATTTCTTAAGAAACCAGTGTTCAGTCATGCCCAATTATATGTTGTTGTCTCCCGTGTAACTAACGGAAAAGGTTTGAAAATCTTAATTTGTGGCGAAGATAATGTGCCAAATAATCAAACCAATAATGTTGTATATAGGGAAATGTTCAATAATATATGATCTTTTCAGTTTAATTATATGTTTATATGTCTATTCTTATGATCATGATCATTTCATTATTACACAATTTATATTCAAAATTGTCTTTTAAAAAGCGTATAGATAATAATAATATCCCCGTGCATCGTATTGGATTCATACTAGTATAGATAAAAAAAAACCATCAAATAAACCCCCCTCCTCTTACTCGGACAAATCAAGAATTACATGGAGAGGAAATTAATAATTATAACAATTAAGCATCATCTTATATTATATTTATGTTTATTATGAATTTGGTCATATATACACCCACAAAACAATTTAAATTAAAAAATATAAAACAACACAAATAAAATATTTAGTAAAAAACAACATTAAAATAAATTCCAACCGATCATCAATCCACCCCAAGCGTCGTCTCTACGCGTCATATTCTCAAAATCCCCACGCGCCGCCGCAGCCCTCAGTGGTTGTTCCTGGCGCACCTGGTAGCCCTGGTGCAGCCGCGCCGGTAAGGATTGGCCCGCTGGTGCCCGTTGCAGTTGTAGTACGACCTTCCACGCCGATTGCACGGCACGTTGTTCCGCCCCATGGCGCCGTAGCTGATGTACCCTCCGCGGCGGAGCTGCCGCCGCGCGCTCTCGGACTCCATCATCATCTCCTGGTCGAAGTCGAGGGCGTCCGCCACCAGATCGCCGTGGCCTTGGGGCTCCGCCACCGCTTGGGAGAAATCGCCGGCGTATGCGGCGGCGGCCATGGCGGCCAGCGCCACCAGGAGGACGGCCAGCGCAAATCGGGAAGCCATCGTCGTCGTTAATCGTCCAGGGTTATCGGATTAACTGAGATGGCTTTTGTTGTTTCTCTCTTTCTTTTTGCCCCTTCTCTTTTTCACTCTGTTTATTCTCTATTTCAATGAGTCCTTGCAATTGAATGGAAGCCATTTTTTGTTGGGGTCCTTTTGTTGTTTGTTTTTTGGTTGGCTGTCCTTTTGTCTCTCTCAGCTTGACACTTTGAAGGTTGAGAAAAGATAAAAGGGAAAACAAAACAAAAAATGGATTTTTTTTTTTGTTGGTGAGTTTATTTTGTGTTGTGCCTCACAGTTTTCCAATAAATTTTCATATTAGTTGTCTCCTTTTAGTATAAATATTTATTTTTGTGAAAAAGTGTAACGGATCGAACCCACAATGATTAGGCACTCCCTTAGAGCATCTACAATGCTTTGGGTTCAATCTCAAAAAATTACATGCCACATAAGAAATAGACCCAGTCCAAAAAAATATATTCTCCAATGCAAATAAAAGTAGACTGGGTCCTGCTGATGTGGCAGCCAGAAAAAGAGACCCGGTCTCCCTTTAAGTCCATTTTAGACCCAAGTAGAGACCTAGTCTCTTTGCATTGGAGTGAATTTTATTAATTTTACATAATTTTATCTACGTCATCTAAGACTTGGGTTTATTTACTTGCCACATAGGCAAGACTAGACCCAATGCATTGAAGATGCTCTTATCGATAGCTCATTCAATCAATACCATTGTTTTTCAACACGGACAGATCACAGTCAGGACCTTCCCAGTGGGTGTTTTGAAATAGGTGATAATAGACTTGGTTAAACCCGACCAACACAGCCTTGGATCAACCCGATTTGACCTGGTCATATTATATTTTTCTTTTATACATATATTTTTGTGATAAACATTTATAAAAAAAATACTATATTATTACACTTTGATGCATACAAATTATATACAAAAGGTATTTTATTTTTGTTTATGTATATATTCATATAATAAACATATCATACATACAGTTTTGCTATGAAGCCAACAGTTGGCTAGCAAAATTGATCATAAATATGTATAGATCATTTTAAAATTTTCAAAACTAATTATTCAGTTCAGTAATTGACTCGATGATCCGGATGTTGAACCGGCCTGCTTAACCCGGGTCAATCCCAAGCCCGAATATATAAACTATGAAATACTTATCGATGTGGTTACATGTATAAAATGTGTGTGATCAACGATAATAGAACAGTCATTTGTGTGTAGATAGAGTAAGAGAATATAACATTCATTTGAGTTTGTGATTGTTGTTAGAAGTCCAAAACATCACTCAAAATTTTAAATTTAATTATTGGATTTTGCAAGGAGTGTTGAGTCTGTGAGTGGTTTTAGAAGTTGAAAATATCACTAAAAATTATAAATTAATACAACTTCTTTAGATTATAGTGGAATTCTCGAAAATCTTATGACTTAATGTGAGGATTGGCTAGGAGTCTATGGGTCCTAAAAAATTCAAACAAATTCAAGTGATAAATAAATAAAATAACGTGACTTTATGAGAATGTTTGAAATCTCAAACTAATACATTGAGGGCTCCTTTATTTCGGCAAATGGGACAGGATAATTAAAATTGTCCTGGGTTGTCCTCTGTTTCTCTTTAGAGATTGGGATGGGATTTGTATGAGGTGGCGCAGATGTGGCTGCGGGTCCCACTTGCATATCATGTATTTGACGATTATTTCCATCCCAG